TTTTTTTTTTTTTACACTTTTTTTTTTTTTTTTTTTAGACTATATAAATAAATTATACTAATACTTGTGCGAAATAAATCCTGTAGTACAACACATGAAGTATGCTGTGTGTACTTTACACTGCAGAAATGGAGTTAAACCGTATCCTGATGCTGTTCTTCCTCTTCCTCTTCCCCAGGTCGAGAAGTCGTTCCCGGTCTGAGAGCTCCTCTCGCTCACGGTCCCGTTCCCGTGGTCGCTCTCCATCTCGCTCCCCCAGACGGTCCCGCAGCCCCGCCAAGGCCCACAACCGCTCTCGCTCCCGCTCCCGCAGTGGCTCCCCTGCTGGCGGCACCTCATCCCCGACCCCCAAATCAAAGGAACCCGCTAAGCGGTCCTCCAAGACGAGCAAGTCCGCCACTCCGCCCTCCCCTCGGCCGGCTCAGAGAGCGTCTGTCTCTCGTTCCCGCTCCCGTTCCCGCTCTCGTTCCCGCTCCCGCTCCCGTTCTCATTCTACTGACAGCCAGCGTTAAAGGCTGTGTTTGGGTTAAACCAATCGTCAGTAGGAACAACTTGTTTCAGCAGTAGAATCCGCTCGGATGAGTTGGCACACTGGAGCTCCCACGACCCCCTCTGAAAGCCGAGAGAAACCTTTTCCTCGAGCAAAGTTTGGTTTTTCCTCTCTGGGTTGTTGTCATAACTATCAAGTTTTTCACATTAGAACACAGACACATTGTCAGACAGGAGCAATGATATTAAGTCAGATATTTTATTGTCATAATGGGGCATTTTTAAATCAAATAACTTAAACAGAAGACACTTGTTGCACTGAAATGCTGTTCGTGTCCTCCCGCTCATTACCCTTAAAACGTTTGGACCCATATGTGTGTTTACACCCAGTGTCTGCTCTCCTCTGAATTTATTCATCCAATAGGCTGCAGGTCCATCACCGGTCCAGTCTGTCTGTTTCATTTCACAAAATCACCAAAATGCCCAAGCCTCACTGTTGTTGGGCCTGTAAAGTTAGAAATCTCTACACTATTAAAAAAAAAAAAAAAAACTTTGAAGAGGGAATCTGTATTTTTCAGCAGTACTAGGATGATTTTGATAAGTCGTGTGACCACTTTCTTTACTTCTTTGCAATACCTCTGCTTGTTTTTTGCCTGTCAGTGGGAGAATTTTTAATCACTTTTTACATTTTTGTCCTGTTCACCCAAGTTTTCCAAGTCCTTTCACCTCTTCTCCCTTATTTTCTGACCTACTGTACCTGCCACAGCTGTGTATGTGATCTCTATATCTTAGACTGCTTGCATGTGCTTTTGTTTGATCCAAATTTACTTATTATTATCAGAAATATTTTATTTGTGCTTGAAGCTCAAATACAAACCACCGTCATAACTGGCATTGGCAGCTTCAGTATCAAGAACACTGTACAGTTATGCACATTGTTCCAGCAGTTGAACAGCTGTACAGTAAATTTCATAAATCTTACGTTTTCTTGCAGTTGACTGTTAAAACTTTTAATTTGTTGGGAGTTTTAATACTCTACCTTGGGGATACGGTCAACATGTTAATTTCAACACTTCAAAATGGTGTTGTTTAGAGAATGCAGTTTATTCTAGCATTGTAATTTTTGTTTATTTGTAGGGTTTTGTGTACAGCATTGCAGACTTTTGTTTTTCATAAGTGTAAAGTAATTCCAAGAATACTTGTCGGTACTGTGACTGATGTTAGTTTGGAAAATGCAACATTTTTGTACATAGGGATTTTATTTTCAGTGGAAAACATGATGGATGTTTGTATGGTGTAGGAAGACAGTGGACTTAATAAAACAGTTTTAACTAAATCATGAATGTTGTGTTCATCAGTTCTGTTTAATTAAACACTTACAAATAAATGTACAAGCTGTCGATTCATATTGTAATTAAAGGAAATACTTGCAGTCTCTCAAATGACTGCATAAAATGGCTGCAGCTCTACGTCTTTTCCTGTTTCACGTAGTGCAGGAGCTCTTTCAGCAAACTGCAGTCTGGTCTCCATCGGGCTCAGCAAGAGTTCACATTGGTAGAAACAAATTGGGATGCATTTGAGATCCATCCATCATACATTCGTCTCCCCAGAGGGTGCTCTCAGCTTATTTTCAGTGTTTGCCGGCTGGTATTTCTCTGTAGGCCCGACAGATGAGTGGATTACAAAGGTGAACAATTTTATAAAAATGAAGCCTTCAGTTAATACAACAGAGTCAGGCCAAATAAATCAAACAGGAAATTCTGACCGGGTTTTGTTGGTCCAAACCTGAATATCTCAACAAATATTGGCTGGATTGCCATCAGATTTTATCCAAACATTCATGGGCAACCCCTGACTCTTCCTACATCCCTGTGGTGCTGCTGGTATGTTGTCCTTTAATGTGTTGAGTAAATCCCGCACCAGTCCATATTAACCAGGTAATATAACCTCAATTCCTAGGTTAAGCTACAACCAAGAATTGTTTAATTATTGGTGAATTTATTGTTTCATTGAGCATTTAATCATTTAGAATATCTATATAGAATATCAGTGGTATCAATGTCTAATTCCTATCCCAATGTCCCTGAACACGGTGAAAATAGCTTGTTTTGTCAGATAAGGTGTTCAAAACACAGAAATAATTAACAATTATTCAAAACAGAGCAAATCCAATATTTAAAGACGCTGCAACTAGAATAAAGTTTGCATCTAACTTTAATTATTAATCAATTATTACTGCCTCTGTCATCATTTCACCACTACAATTAATCACAGGTGAGCTGTAATTTCCTGTGTGACAACAAACGGCTCCACCAGTGTTTGTACGGCCTCTAAACATGAACCCTTTAAGAGCCCTGGCGTCAGTCCTACCTTTCTTCCTGAGTGTGATCCATTGGTGACACCTGAACAGCGCGATGAGGACCATCGCCTCCAGCAGCTGGAAGGACGCGTACACCAGGGGGAACAGGAACAGAGGGCCGATCATCGCCGGAGGAAAGGCCACCTTCAGGATGGTGGAGCACAGCTGGATGTTCTGACAGCCCGTTTCCATAGCAACCGTCCTCCGCTCCCTGAGGAGGGGGATGGACAAGCTCATTCATAAGTCGTGGACACATAGAGGCGAGCTATTGCTATCTGTCAGAGCTCGAATTTAACAGAATAACTCTCCGCCTGACTCACGATTGGTTGAGCTTGAAGAGAGAGGAGATGATGTATCCGAAGGTGTAGCCTATGAAGGGCATGAGTAAACCGATGGCCATGAGGGGAGGGGACAGCACAGTGAGGATGGAGCCTCCGATTCCAATGCTGGAGAGGATGCCGACCACCACAACAGCAATCGTCAGCATAGTGAGGCCTGCCTGAGAACAGCAGCAGGACGAGACACATTAGACTGGAGATTCATTAGTCTTTTATTTGGTTTCTGTGTTATTATTAGAGTTAGTCTGGGGATATTTCTATCTCTTATTCTCAAGTATTGTCTGTGACGCAGAGCTCCATAGACATTCAAAAGTATTAGAAACACATAGACTGTCCTGCTGCCTAGAATGCAAATTAAAATATTTCCCCAAAATGCACTGTTGACCTCTGTATAATTGTAATACAGTTGCTAAAAACAGTTCCAGCCCTTTTTAATAATTTCTTAATATTATTTGATTACGTTTAGTCTATAAAATATAAATGTCCTAGCAGTCATTTCATGCTATGAAAAAGGTCTATTAGCTTCTTTTGTCCGATCAAACAGTCTAAAACCCAAAGATGTTCAATTTATAATTATATATAACTGAGAAAATCATCACATTTGATAAGCTGGAATCTGACATTTTTGTCTATTTTTGTTTGATAAAGTACTAAAACAACAAATCAATCACAAAAATCGTTGCCTGTTCTATTCTACAAACCATGAATCAACATTGTTTCAGCTCTACAGTGATCTCATCTAGCCTTCTGACCTTCGTGTGTATGCACCAACCTTCTTGATGATCTTGGCGTACTGCGGCCTGTAGTAGTTGATGAGGATGCCTGCGGCGCAGGGAATGAGGATCATGAACAGCGCTATAATGATGTCAACGTAGGGCACGTAGTTCTGCACGTCATTGAAGCCCTGACAGTAGAGGTAGAGCAGCAGAGGCATCATGCCCAGAGCCATCACAGTGGACGAGCAAGTCATCACAATGCTGGTGGGGGGGGAATAAAGACGGGTGATAATTTTCATTTTGATAACACGGGCAACACGTTTAAAAAAAAAAAGATATAAAAGCAATGTTTGATTGCGTCGATAACACAATATGTCAACTTTATAACCCACACCAGAGACCATATTCTTAGTTTGTTGTT